GGAGGGCACTAGCTGTGCAGGTGCACACAGCTGCTCTGGGAAGGACTCGCCCCTGACCAGGGTGCTGGATGCGGTGGGAGGAGGGGGCTGGGAGCCAGGCACCATCTCCTCGCCTGACCTGCTCCCGTGGGCATCCCGACCCACCTGCGCCTGAGCTTCAGAAGTCATTTTCTGTGATCTGAAGTGAACGCTCTGCCCGAGAGCAGTGCATCCAATCACAGACTGTCCCTCTCCATTGTGGCCCTCATAAATCAGAGTTTGTGGAGGGGAGAGTGGGTGACGATGGGACTTAGAGGGTGGGGCCTCTCCTCTCCTTCCAAGCCCCGAATTAGAGGGAGACAGGTGAGGGGGGAGTGCCCGGTGAAGCTGCACTAACATGGTGTACTGGTCACATCTGATCCCAGCGCCTGCCTCTCACAGCAGCCCCTGTGTTAACAATGTGTCTTCTAAAGGTCCCGGGCTGACACCAGTGTCTCTCAGAGCTGAGATCCCCTATAAGCACAAAAGCAAAGCAAACCCAGACCTTTGCTTCAGCCCCTGACCAAGGCTCTGGCCCTCTGGTTTATGAGGCTGTAAATCTTCATTGGAAGATAAGATCCCTCTTTCTCCTGCTGAGCAGCTGGTGGGTTCAAACTGCCAACCTTTTGGTTAGGAGCTCAGTTCTTATGCGGTCTTCTAAAAGCAAAGGCAGGGTAAAGGAGAAGGTGACAGAGGTCAGGCTTCTCCCGTGGTGGTTACGAGCTGGAGCCCCACCAGGCCAGCAGGACAGACTCCTTGGCCACCCTCCTGCCTACTGCAGTCTACCGGTCCTGGGGTTTCCTTTAGTAACACTGACAATGCCGGACTGTGCCTGTAATGACGTCGTCACTATCAGTACAGGATGCTCTGTGGCACACGGCACTGCGTGGTGCTGCTAACCAAAGGTCAGTGGTTCTAGTCCACCAGTAGCCCTGCAGGAAGAAGGTGAGCTCACTGAAGGATGGTGCTCCCGTGAGAAGGACTGGACAGCAGAGGGTCTGGTCTCCCTGGTGATGTCACAGAGCCGTCCTTGTCTGTAATGGTACTGTGTGCGTCTCCCCTCTGCGCCCCGCCTTCCTCCTCACCCCCTAAGACTTCCTTGACGTCATTTCCTGCCCTTCCCCTCTTCTAACCCTGGTGATGACAAGGAATGCTTCTTCCTGGGTGTAAACTTTTAACTTTTCAAAGCCCTGAATTCACATAGGATCGGTCCTTTTGTGATTGACCTGTGTCGCAGAGCTGCAGGCCCCCACCCAGCCCTGAGGTGACACAGGAGCTCCCGTACTCCCCTGCCTCCCAAGACCCCCTCTCCTGGAGGTCAACGTGTGTGAATAAACTTGACGGGAGGGGGATTATGTCTGGTTACCCCAGTGGCCCTCATCCACGGAATACATTCTCACCCAAAGGGGTTCCAAGGCTGCCCTCCTGCTCCTGTGGAGTGGGTCTGAACCACTGACCTTTTGGTTAGCAACCGCAGCGCCCCCAGGGCTCCTAACGCAGCAGGCACCATGGCTGCCGCAGGCACCATGGTCAGGAGCGGGCACCATGGCAGCCGCGGGCGCCACGGCCTCTCAGTGGCTGGTTTGCCCAGATAGAGCACCAGGCCTTTCTTCCACGGCCCAGGCGGGTGACCTTGAATCTCCAGCCGTTCAGTTAGCAGATGATCACCTTGACCGTCTCCACCAGAAACCTCTGGCCAAGCACACACCAAACCAACCCCCTGCCATCAAGGCGAGGCCGGCAATGCAGCATGAGAGCGTGCAGAGGCCCATCAGCTTCTAAGGCTGCAGAGCTCTCAGCGAGCTAACTGCTAAATCTCTCCCCTGTGCAGCGCTGGGTGTGTGTGTGTGTGTGTGTGCGTGTGTGAACTCCAGAACTTGTGGTGAACAGCCAAGCATTAAACCACGGTGCCACCAGGCCCCAGTTTCCTCCAGACTTCACCAGGAGAGGGCCACGGACTTAAGTGCCTTACGAAGCTGGTGCTCAGCATTCCACAGTCAACAACAGACCCTCACTTGTAACTACAGGTATTTGTTTAAATAAAACACGAAATGAGTCCATTAAGCCCTATTAGCTGGAGAAACAGATGGTCGTGCATTGGGGTATCGGCAGCCTCTGCTTAGCGGTGAAATGTGGGCTCCACGCTGCTGTGCCCCTGGATAGGATTTTTCTTTGCACTTTAAAGCTGAATGAAGAGTGAAGGATGGGGGCCGGGGCGGGCTAAGCGTGTGCTAGGGAAGAGGGTGTCTTCCCTGTGCAGCTGTCGGACTAGCGTGTGTCAGCGTGGACTGGGCCCCATGAGTGACCTGCCACTCTGCCTGCAGCCCACGCCGTGAAGTCAGTGGGGAGGGCAGCACTGATTCACTCCCAGAAGCGGCCAGCGGCCAGCGCTGGAGAGCTTTCCTGCCCAATAGTAGCCTCCTGCTAAGCTTATGGGGCTCCGGCTCACACTGGCTTGTTTGGGGTTTTTCCCTTTTGTTCTGGTAAAGGCAAGATTAAATTCAACTAGGCCCCAGCAGGCTCCCCTCCTCCACTCCATTCACTTAATTTCCTCTGCTCCAGGATTCGCTGAATCCCAATGGAATGTGCAGGCAGACCCTGGAGACCCTGCAGGTTCTGTTCCTGACGACCACACATTAATCTCGTCTAACATCTAGCGGAAGAGGCTGGTGGCCAGGTCCACAGGGGACAGCTGCTGGCCCTCTCCATCTCGGTGAGCCCACCAGGTCTGAGGGACAAAGACGGACAATCTCCCTCCTTGCGTTTACAGTGTTGGAAACCTCGCCAGGGGTCAGCTGTGAGTCACCACAACTTGGCAACGAGATTTCACGGCTGCATAGAGAAGTGACGTCTGCCCTGCCATCATGGATGAGGTTGGGGTGCAGTGGCACGGTGGGAAAGCGACACCGGCGAGAACGTGAGCTGGAAGCTGTGTACCCACAGTGGACAGAGCTTCTAGACTCACACAGACTAGGAAGAAAGGGGTGGCAGTCTACTTCTTAAAGCAAGCAAGGACCCCTGATGCGTCCTTACCGAGCCCTGTCTGCTGACTCCAGACACCATCAAGTGGGACCAAGCACCGAGAAGGATATCATGTTTGGTGAAGGAGTGAGGGAGTGGGAGACCCTGAGGTGGGGTGATCAGCATACTATTCGGGGGAATGGCCTTGAACATGCCCATGAGGGTGTGGCTCTTGTCTACTCCTCCTCCAGTCCCCTCTCCCTCCCTTCCCACCCACAGTAACTCTTCCGAATGATGTTACCTATGGGGAAAGCTCTCACTGGCTTTTTCACAGTGGTCTTACACCCTATACAGCCCTCGTGACTGACTTAATTCACACAGCATGAGGTCCCCTTGATGCTGTGAATGGTCCTATGGTGGTTGACTATACCACGCTGTCTGGTTTGTTAGCTGTAGGATTGTGGTCAAGGGCTATTTGCTACCCTCCATCAGTAACATTCTTTTTTTTCCCCCCTAGGAAAGCAACTTTTTTAATCAATGTCCATAATAAAGATACACTTTTACAATTCAATGAACAACTGCAAACTTTGTGAAACACATGGTAATTGTGTTCTTAGAAGAATCAAGAGACACTGTGATATAAAAGCTATTATTTCAAAGAAGGGAGAGAAAACACATATTTCTAATTTGGATAGCTGAAAATATGTTAGGGTCCTGACCACACGAAGGGACACTACCCAAAGGAGGGTCAGAGTTCACAACTGTCCTGTCTGGGGTATGAAACCCTTCCAGTGACTTTCTGGTAATAAATTTGACAGTTTTATAATTCTAATGAAAGCATCATAACAAGTATCCCTATATTCTGAAATCTGGAGATTACAAACAACTACTGATACGTATTTATCACCAATGACTGAACTGTTTCTTTCTAGTAAATTGACCGTTACACTTTCAAAGTTCTGAAAAATGGCCAACAGACCATAGCAAGATATTTACTTAGGCTCCTGCTTGGAACCAACAGCTCCATCAACTGCTGGTCTCGATTCAGGGCCGATCAGGAACTTTCTTGAGAAGGAACAGTAATTAGAGGACTGCAAAAGCTTCTGTTCAGTTACCAATAAAACTAGTAACGTCATTCAGTGTAGAAAGATTTTATAAACCGGCATTGTTAGCATCACATACTCTAAGAAATACAGCATGTAAGCAGCCTACAACCGTGTTCTGTGGCGGGCATTTGAAATAAGCATTGCTAAGGACCCATGCAATCTGCACGGGAGGAGTTCTGTGCGGTGGAAGCACCACCCGGGAGCCAGCAGCTCCGTGACCTACTGTCAGAAACCTCAGCTGAAAAAGGAAATCATGAAAACCCCACAGAAGGTAAGCTGTTCCCCTAGAGACCCTTCAACCTCAGAGGGCCTTCTGAAGTTCAAGTTCAGCCCTTCTCCTTGTCTCCATCTCCCTCTTAGCTTCCTCAGCTGAAGGCTATGATGGAGGGAATGGCTGGACCTCTGAGGACAGGGCCCTGGCGGGCATCACTCCGCAGCAGAGCCGGACAGCTGGGCTGGTGACGGTGCCCCAGGCCCATGGCCCCTCAGGCACCACAGCCTTTCACTATCCCAAAGAAAGCCATGATGCCCACGGAGCCTACAGCCTTCCCTCCGGAAGCGGCCACTCACCGGTGACGATGCCATTCTTCTCCAGGGGCTCCTGCCAGCTGACCTTCAGGGACGTGTCCAGAATCTCTGTGAAGCTCAGGTGCCCCACCGCTCCCGGCCCTGGCAAGGCAAACAGGGGTCTGGTAACACCAAGGCCCAGCTCGTGTTTGCACGTGCATGCATGTGCGTGCATGTGTATCTATAAGTGTGCATGCATGCGTCTGGGCACGCATGTATGTGTGTTCATGTGTGCACAAATGCATGTATATGTATGTGTATATGAGCGTTCACAAGGGGAGGGGGGTGAAATCTGCAGGAAATCATGACATCCTGAAGGCTGGGGGATCTGGGAGGAGGCCAGCTTTGTGCACACAGGGTGAACTGCTGGGCCGCCCCAGCCTTGAGGACAACGAAAGAGAGCCCTGGGAGGTCTGCACACTTGGGGGCTCCCTGGGTGGCACTGCCTCCCATTTGTCTGGCTCAGAGAGGCCATTAGATGCTGGGAACCAGGGCCGGCATCAGCCCACCACAACTGGCTCTCTAAGTGCCGTCTGCCCCCTGACCCCAAATCCAGGTCCAGAATACCTCCTGTTCCAGATCCCAGAAGGCCCAGCCCTGGCTTGGAAAAGTCTCAGGAGAAGAGTGCTTCCCTCTCCAGAACACTCCTGCTACAACCAGGCAGGGTGGCCGAGGTGTGGTCACGTGTAGGTACTGGACCAGGACTCACACCCGCAAGCCTTTGGTTTGCCCATCTGTGCAATGGGGACCCATGCCCAGGCTCCGAGGGGACGTTTCAATGGGATACCAAAGCAGCCTGCCGGCTCCAGCACCATGGAAATGCCCAGAGAACATTCGAGGTGGTTAGATGCCAGGTTTGGCTCTAGCTCTCAGTGGCCCTGTGCGGAACAGAACACAGTGTAGCCGGGTCTGTGCTCGAGTCTGTGGTGGACGCCATGCCATCTTGTCAGGACCAGAACCAAGGAGATGTGGGAGCAGAAGGTTGTGCTTATGAGATGGAGCTTTGAGAACAGGAAACAGATGCTGGCACGTGGAGAATTGGCGCTTTGGGCCCGTGAGTAATGTCAGAAGCAGGGGTGCTTTGGGGAGCATGGGTGATGTCAAAGACAGTCGACTGGAGTAAGAACTGCCCACTAACCCTTGAACTCTTCACGACACCATTGCACTGGCTCAGCCTCCAGCCCCAAGGCCCATCCAGACATCCATCGAGGCCCCCTCATCGCTCTGTCCAGCCCATCTATGGGGACGTGACTTCCTAATAAATCTATCTTTATCCCTCTCTTCTGCCTCCTTGTTTGACTTCCTGGCGCCGGCTCTAACAGAAAGCTTCAGCCTGGTGCTCCTGCACGAAGGTCTGCTCTCCCGAGCACCCCTAGAGCAGCTGTGCCCTGCTGCCTGGTGTTCAGGCAGCGTCCGTCTTCTGGTCTTCCCCGCCTGGCACAGTGCCTGTGCAAAGGGCCAACCAGGCCCCAGCGACCACAGCTGTGAGTGTCCCCACCCCAGGGGTTGCGTGGATCTCCTGGAGCCGACCCCACAATGTTCTCAGAGAACGCGGTTGTCTTTGCCATTGGCTCCGACTCCTGCAGCCCCATCAACATGGACTGAAGCACAGCGTGTCCTGGGCCACCGTCGCGGGCAAGTCCTTTGTTACAGCCACGGTGTCAGTCATCTCACTGGGGGGCCTCCTTCTAGTCACCGAGCATCACCAAGCATGAGGCCCTCCAGGGGCTGGTCCCTTCAAAACCCCAGGGACGGAGGCCCCATCCTCGCCCCCAAGGCCCCTGGCTGTCCTTCCTCCAGGTCATTTATGTCTTCGGTATTCTTCACCAGCTCCGTGATTCAAAGGCCTCAGTTCTCCTCCAGACCTCCTTAGTCACTGTCGAGCATCCACATTGTTGTTGTAAGGTGTCATCGAGTCAACTACGGCCCATAGTGACCCTGTGAACAAGAGATCTGCACCCTGTCCTGTCCTGTGCCATCCTCACACGTCCTGACACACTAGGACCCACGCGGCAGTCATTGTGTTGGTCCATCCAGTTGAGGGTCTTCCTCCCTTTCACCGACCCTCTACCTTTCCAAGCATGACGTCCCTCCCCAGGGAACAGGCTCTCCTCGCAACACGCCTGGAGTGTGTGAGAGTAAGCTTTGCCACCTTCGACACACACACAGCAAGTGAAAACACCATGGTTTGGGGTGGGCACCTTAGTCCTCAAAGTGCTATCTTTGCTTTTTCAGACTTGTAGTCCTGACCAGTGTACGCAGAGAAGGCAGGGTGCCCTGGAGGAGATTGGAGTGCTAGGAGGAAGTGGGGAGCAGGGGACAGTAAGGGGGGGAAGGAAGGTGGCTCTACGCAAACTCAGCTCCAGAGGAATCGGCATCCTGAGCTCATATTTCAGACCAAAATGTCAGCTGTTCACTCTAACTCGTTCAGCTTCTCTGGTGTCGCCTTACCAGCCAGGCCCCCATGCCTGCCCCTCTCTCTTCCAGGAGCTCTGGTGGTATACTGGTTAACTGCTCAGAGGATAAATTCTAGGTAGAGGGTTCAAACCCTCCCAGAACTTTGAAGGAGAAAAAAGCAAGCCATCTGTCTTTTTACAGATCCAGCCCCGCCAGGCAGGGAGAGGGCAGAAGGACAGGTGGAAATGGGTCACACCAGGATCTGGGAGGAGTGCTGTCACATGGCAGGGACTGTGACCAAGGCCACAAAACACAGTCTGCATGCACTGTCTGTTAACTTATACCAAAATCATCATGTCATCACGGACCATTCAATGGGAATTGACTCAAGCTGACCCCTACAGGTTTTCAGAGGCTGTAAATCACATGGAATGGTGCTCCAAGGAAGGGCTGGTCCCCAAAGGCCATCGTACTTGGTAAAGTAGCTTCCTCATTGCTGTGACTTGGAACCGGCTCACAGCTGATCCTCTGTTGGGTTTCTGAGGCTGTAGACTGGACAGGAAGACATCAGCCATCTTTCTCAAAGCCGCCGGTAGATTCGACCTGCTGGAAACACGTGGCCTTCTCTCTGGGAGCCACGAATAAGTGAAGGCAATGACAGGTGAGCTGGACCAGCACAGGGGGTCCAAGGATGGGGAGCAGGGCGTCAGGCAGGACTCAGCAGGACCTGGTGACCACAGAGCCCGTGTGGCCATTCCAGGAGAAACGCAGGAGGCCCAGTCACGGAGCAGGGCGGGCCCGAGAGATGGAGCGCCAGAGGCCCAAGCAGAGCGGGGCAATGGGACAGAGGGGAGAAGCAGCCAGCACTTGGCTCACTTTCATCACGCTCTCAAATGTGTCCTCTACACCAGCAGAGGACACTGGATGCCACTGGTCATCTGTGCCCAGGCTGCCCAGGGGGCATGCTGAGTAATGCCATACGAGACCCTCCTAACAGCAACAACCATGCTCTGGGACACAGGAACCGGAGCCAAGGTCTTTGCAAGGTGCTGTGGGGACAGTCCCTGCTCTGACCACACAGCCAGCCCAGGTGTCTGAGGTGGACCCGACACCTCGTCCCTCAACTGGTACTTGGCCTCTGAGCACAACTTGTAATTTAGAGAAAACGGTCTTGGCCTTGTAAAAATACACCTATGCAGGCGAAACTTTGAAAGGACTTCCATTTCCTTCCTCCCCCCACGGATGAGCTCAAAGGCACTGACAAGTTCTTCTCTTCCAGGGTGGAAGACTGTTAAAATAGAACGGCTGTCAGGACCGCTTGTCCGCCTCCAGTGCTGAGCTTCCAGAAAGACAAGCCGGCGGTTGTGAGCGCTTGTTCTTCTCCGATCGATGAAGGAGCAGGGAAAGCTTTTTGCTGCTTTTATGTTCGTCGTGTTTCTGCTTCCTGGATGGCTGCCGAGCGGCCGTCCTCCGGCTCTGTGGGAACCGGGCGGCAACACCGCGGCCCTTGCGATCTGTACTCACCTTCCTCTGCTTTCTTCCCCAAGGCCCCGCCCGAAGCAGTCTTACTTCCCTGGAGAAAGACAGCTGAGGAGTCGAGAATCCACGACAGGCCGGCACCCCCAAGGGGTGGAAGCTGCACTTGTCACACCCAAGGTCAGCCCGACACCCTACAGAGTCCAGTTACACTCGGACATGGAAAGCCGTTTTCTTCCTCAGTGCTGGCACTAAGAGTGACCCCATGGGCGGACAGAATGGAATCCCCGCCCGGTCCCAGGCTGTCCTCACCATCCCTCCCAGGCTGTCCTCAGCATCCCTGCCCAGTCCCTTGTCACCACGCCCAGTCCCACACCATCCCCGCATGGTCCCACACCGCCCCCACCACCCTCACGCAGTCCCATGTTGCCCTCACCATGCCCTGCCCGGCCTCTGGCCATCCCTGACCGGCCATGCCTGGAAAGGACCATCAGTCCATCTTATTAAAGGTGTTCCTCTTTTTTTCTGACTTTGTTTTCCATTCCATTGTTTACCCTTCTCCAGGGAGCAAGTTACTCAGGACTCATGTGACCTTGAACATCACTCGTTTTTAAAAACAACGTCTATCTGGGATCAAAATCACAACAGCAACTTGAAAGAGCAGAGTGGGAGCTCTGTGACAGAGGGACAGCAAGTGCTGCTTGGGGAGGCACAGTTGGGCAGGGCAGGTGAGAGTGCGCAGGCAGCTCCCAGCAAGCCTCCACTCGCTCTACCACACTCCACCTGATCACCTGTGAAAGCACTCGACCGTATCACCTGTGAAAGCAGGAAATGCAGCCCTGCACAGAGCAGGTCTACCAGCACCATCCCCCAATTCACCGCGAGGCTTTGGTTCACATTCTGGTCATTCTCAAAATTTCATCATCAAAGACAAAGATGGAAGTTGCCAATGCTTCCACAACCAACACCCGTGGCAGTATCAATCAGAAACTCAAGAGACATGTTCCACAGGGCAAATCTGCTGCCAAGGACCTCTTCAAAGGGTGAAAGAGCAATGGTGTCAGCTTAAAGCCGAGGGTGTCCCTAATCCAAGTCCTGGTATTTTCAATTACTTCATCTGCATGGTAAGTTGGATATCGACCAAGGAAGATCAGAGAGGCATGGACGCCTTTGTGGTGCTGGCAAGCAGTCTCGAATACCCCATGGACGCCCAAAGCACGTGCACATCCGTCCTGGAGGAAGGGCAAACAGGCTGCTCCTCAGAGGCCAGGACGGCGAGACCAGTTTCGCATCCGTTCAGGGTGTCTTCAGGAGGAGCAGTCCTGGGAAAAGGACATCAGGCTTGGAAAGGGGGACGGTCAGCTGAAGAGAGGAAGACCCTCAACGAGAAAGGAGGACCATGAGCGCAACGCCGGGCCCCAGCCTGGCAGAGAGCAGGGGACCGGGAGGAGACCGGCTCCACCCTGCTCACAGGCTCGCTGAGTCAGGGTTGGCCCAACGCCGTCTAACAACAGTACACCTTGTGGACTGAAGTGGCAACAGAGAGAGAGGCTGGAAGATCACCGCAGCATCCGCTCTACTGCAGCAGACTGGAACTGAACCCCCAGACTCGTGATGTGTGCCCGGAGTCAACATCACCAAAGTGTAGGAACTGCTGCACTGGTGTGTTTTGCCGCATACACTTTGGATATCAGAAAGGAAGGACAGACATGTGACTGATCACCCAACTGAGACTGGAGTCTCTTTCTGCTTCCTGCAGCCAGGGCCCCATCACATCCCGGGCATCACCCTCTGCCGGGCAGTACCCATGGCATCCAGTGGGCAGCCTTCCTGAAGCTAACAGGGTGAGAACTCTGGAAGACAGGGCCTGCAATGTGTTCTGTGTGTGCCCCAGTGCTGGGCGCCCCGTGCTCCACACCATTCTACAACTGGCTCATAGCCCGTGGGCTGCCCTCACCACTGTAGGGTGGCTGATAGCCCATGGGTTGCTGGCTGATAGCCCGTGGGCTGCCAACACCACTCTAGAATTGGTTGGTAGCCCGTGGGCTGCCCAGGAGAGAGAGGAAAGTGCCACTCACGGTCTTCATGCGTCCGGATGAGCTGAGGTGTGCTGGGGGGCCCGTCCCCCGGGGTGGTGAAGCACAGGACAGACGTGAAGTAGGCGGTGAACTTCTTCAGGTTGGTGACGTACCCGTGGTGTGTGCCATGGAAGTCTGGAGCGATGGTCACTACGGTGACAGCCTCGGGGACATCCACCGGCCAGGCTAGAAGCTGGGATGGGACAGGGCAAAAGGGCAACTCTGTTACTTGTTTCTGCTGCTGAAAATAGCAGATGCACACAGCTGGTGAGTCTGCACATCCCGGTCATCGACACAGATCCTGCCCTTCAGGGGGTGCGAGGACCCTCTTCCTCCTCCCCTGGCTGTTCCTTTTGAGTTGATGTTGTCAATCTGATTCTGTTTCGATCTAGGCAGCCCTTAAGGGAGTGCATCGTCGAGGGGACATCCTTCACTGTCAGCTGCATTGCCTCAAGCCCTGCTCTTCTACCAGAACTTTATTTTGAAATGGAAATGACTTCAAAACAAGCTGAGTCAAAGCCAGCCAAGTTCAGGAAGCCTGCAGCACACGCTCCTGAAAGGCTGAGTTTGAGGACTATTTCACAGGTGAGAATCTACAAATCTGCAGAGCTTTTATATACGTCTACACATCACCATTCTATCTCCACACCTACACACACCTTAGTCAGCGCATCATATATGGGTGTGTGTGTGACACACCTTAGTCAGTGCATCCGTATACGGGTGTGTGTGTGACACACCTTAGTGTATCCATATGTGGATGTCTGTGTGACACACCTTGGTCTGCGCATCCATATACGGGTGTCTGTGTGACACACCTTAGTCTGCACATCCGTATGTGGATGTGTGTGTGACACACCTAAGTCTGTATGGATGGATATGTAAGGAGGTTCTGGTGGCCTAGTGGTGGGAGGTGGGCTGCCCACCCAGGGATGTGGTTTGGATTCACCAGCTGCTCCACGGGAGAGTCTCTGGAGGGTCAGCGAGGAGTTGGTCCCACCTCGAGGGTGCCCAACAACAACACACACACACACACACACACACACACATTTATGTGTGTGTATATACCTGTGTGTGTATGTATATATATAAAATTGCTGTTGCTTCAGGACCCATTCCAGCTGACCCTCGGCGGGTTTTCTGAGGCTGTAAATTGGTAAGATGCCCACCTTCCTGCCCCAGCGCTGTCGGTGGGTTTGCACTGACAGGCTGAGCAGGGCAGCTCTGTGCGGACTGCACGGCCAGAGCCCGTGGAGCAGCAAAGTGAACCTGCTGCCACCTGGGTCCTGGTCCATTACGACCTTCGACCAGGTCCCAGCGCTGTGTGTCTTTACAAGTGGAGACTGTCTGACCTTCTCCCACAGCCAGTGGATTCAAAGTGCCAGCTTTCTGGTTAGCAAGCCCCCCCATGCGCCTGCCTCTCTCTCTCTCTCTCACACACACACACACACACACACCAATACTGGATAAAGTAGTTCAGGCTGTTAAATATCAGAGTCAGAACTGACTCGTTATTGACCTTCCGCTGAGTTTGCAAAGCAGTAAACGGCACAGGAATTTACCGCCCATCTTTCTCCGGACGACCAGCTGATGGATCCAAACCACGTGCCTTTGGGTTGACAGTCTAATTCCTTACCACTAGGCCACTGGAGCTGCCTTGGGAAAGGGGACGGTCAGGACAAGCAGGAGGACTGCCGTGAGATGAGACAACACAGTGGCCGCAGCACCGGGCCCAAGTACAGCGGAGACTGAGGACGGCGCAGACCAGACAGGTTCCCTGTGTCCAGTGACGACACGCACGGACAGAGGCCCGCCGCAGCTCAGGCAGGGTGATGAACACCCCGGGCCTCTCTCCTTGCCTGCACCTAGACATGGCACCAAACAGCCCGGATTTTAAGCCATGAAGATGACACCAATTGTTGATCAGGTGAATCAGCAGCATCTAAAATCTATACACATCACTTCCCATCCAGCCCCGAGTCTGGTGAAGGAAAAGGCCCTGGTCCAATGGAATCGTCTGATTCTTTATCACCTGAAGCACACTTGTGCCACAAGGATTTTAGGAGATTGGTTAGCATTTTTGAGATGTACAAAGAAATCTACCTGTTCAATTAAAAATCAGATCTACCTTCTCCAAGGAAGGCTGTTTTAATGCTCTGGAAACCTTATGTGTGTGCATGACAGAACCCTTTAGACACCAAACATCTCCAGGATTAATTAAGTCTAAAAGTTGACATGCTGCAGGACAAAATCGGGTTTGTATAGATCAAACCAGCAGCCGAGCCATCAACTGAGGGCTCCGCTCGGGCTGATGAGGGCTGACAGCGAGTCAGGGAGGCAGAACCGTCCTGCTGGATCAATAGCTTTTTTTTTTAAGGCCTCTGACTTTAGGTGTCTCTGGATGGGGAAAAGAAAGCTGGGCAAGTTTCTAGATTTTTCTAGTCTTTTTCAGTGAAGAACAACAGTTTTAACAAGCAGGATCCAAATGGGGGAAAATGAGTGCACATGTCTAAGGGCCAGTAGCCTCCAGATCTGAATGCCCATGGCCCCAGCCAACGAGGCGACATGCATTCTCTAGAAGGACCTCCCTCCAACTGACCGGCCACTGAGGAAGACTGGTGAATACGCCGTGCGGGAAACTCAGGTAGGCTCTGAGACATCATCAGAGAAAAGGATGGAGCTCAGAGGTAAAACAGTCTCCAGAGTTGAAGCCACGCTCATCACCGCTCAGAGGATGTCCACCCACAGTGACCCTGAGGTCAGACAGAGGGGAACTTCCCACAGAGTGTCCAAAGCTGCAACTATTCTCCCCTGGGGCGGCTGATGGACTTGAACCACAGACCTTTCTGTTAGCAACCCAGTGCTGAATCAGGCGCACCACCAGGCTCCTTAAGATAAAGCTTACCTCTGGAAATCACTTCCAAGTACTTCTGTGAAAAGAACATACGTGGTGACTAACAGCAGTGGGGGGCAGGCGTGGTGAGGATGTGGCTATGCCTGTAATCCACCTCCTGGTGGTGACTCTGAGGGTTCACTGGGTGGTGGAAATGGTAATGATAACTAAACAGTCGGAGGTTCAAGTTCACCTAGAGGCACCTTGGAAGAAAGGCCTGGATCTACTTAAAAAACATCAGCCTGTGCCGACCTGTGCGAGGCCACCTTGAGTCGGAGTCTCCTCCAGCAACTGCTTTGGGGACTTGGGGTTCAGTGGCCGCAACTCTTCAGACACCTCCACGAAGGGGCAAGGGAGAGGAGGCAACGCCCTCGCCAGGCCAGACACGAGTGCTCGGTCCAGTTTCCTGGCTCTAATGCTGTGCTCTTCCAAGAAAGCGGTTTGCTTAAATGCTGATTCCAGCCAGCCTCGCCCTGCCCCATCCCTCTGGGTATTCAGGAATAAATGCTATTTCTCCTAGGAAATCGCCACTTTTGTACGAACCATGTTTGGAATTGCTAGTAGTTTGTGTGTCCCAACCCACAGAGCTGATGAGCACAGACCTTGGACAGTGGTGACCCTGATGGGTCAACACACTCTACAAAGAGTGGTCTCTCCACTTGCACCACAAGATTCGTTTCAAAGTCCAGTGATTCTGAGAGGAGGAAGGTCAAGGTCAAGTACCTTATATCCTTGGTTGATGCCATTGATGAACTGCTGGGGCGGAGGGTTCCACAGAAACTGGACCGTTGTCGAGTTGACAGCTTCCGTCTGCACATTCTGTGGGGGCGCGGTGGGCACTGCTCCACGGGAGTTGTCGTCCCAGACAGAGAAGCCAACGGCAGGAGACACCGAAGGGAGGGGAGAGGAGAAAGGAACCCTTAGCCGTTGTGTGGTCAGCGGTTCACAGGCAATTACGGCGCCAGGAGCAGGGAAGTGTGATGAATGCTTTGGGGAGGTGATAGTGGCATTACAGAGAAAGGGAGTCGGCCTATTTCTCATCTTCTGCTGGAGATTCTTTAATGTGTGGGCAGAATCTCCTCTTTCCACTGGAGAGCCTTTCCCATGGATCTGAGACGGAAAACAAGTGAGAGCTTTCTCTAATTTCTTTTTCAATTATCCACTGTCTGAAACAAGGCAGAGTTTCACCTAGAAACCCCCTTCTCCATTACTTACCATTAAACAGAGAGCTAAGTTCTTCAGTACGTGAAAAAGTGTAAATAAACAGAACGCATGCACTTTGACTTAATCACATGGTTACGTGGCGAAGACCAGGACGTTAAGTGGAAAGTGGCATTCTGCAGAACTGGAGGATAAGCACATCAGACCACAAAACAGAGGATGATTACATCTTTACATAATGGCCAAGCCAGCTCAGGCAGTTCGTTCTGTTTTGCACACGGTCATAAGAACTGACTCGACAGTACTTACCCACACGTTTCCTGGCTGTCCCCTCAAGTGCTCTGCAGAGGGCAATGGGGAGGTCAGGGTTCCCTAGGAGCTTAGATAATCCCCAAGGATCCTTGGCTCTGGCTTGAGAAATAAAGGGTTTGCTGGCAGGGGCCCCTGGAGACTGTGCTCATGGTTCTCTTCCTCAAAAGCCCTTCTCACCAGCAGGTTAACGAGAGCAACGCGTCCAAGCCCTCAGGCCTGCTCTGCTATCCATCTGCTGTTGCTGGTGGCTGTGAGGTCCCCTCTCCGTAAGCTCTCTGTCTTACTTCCCACTTGCCCAGAATTTGTGGGTGAGACATGGTGACAGGGCCTGGTCTGCTGGCTATGGGTGGAGGAAAGGAAGCAGGCTCTACAAGGTCAAGTGCAATGCACTCTCGTTTTCCACTAGCTCCCGTCTGCTGCTAAATCACGTACACACACACACACACACACACACACACGCCCCCCCGGGGATGGGCTCAGAGGTCTGGAGTCCACCTGGGAGTGTTCACCAAAGACATAACCCCCTGCTTTCACGGGCTTTGCAGAGACTCAAGACGTCCCTGTCACCATCCAGCCTCTTAACACACTCATGAACTGTGAGCCTGGGGCCGCCAGCCCTCCCCCCCCTTTGGCGTTCTGTCCCTCCACTTTGGACCCAAGTTAGAGTTACTGGTCTGCGTGGAGACGCAGGCTACGGAAGGTTGACGAGAACATCACACTCACTGGAAAAAAGCTGAATAAACTGTAAGACCGTAACTTTTCTGACCTCATCAGAGAAAAGACATTTAAGGAGAAAAGAAGTCTGACATTTACAGAGAGACGCACCTCACTCAGGAGCGAGGATATGAGGACGTGAGACAACAGACATGCGAGTGAGAAAAAGGCCTCGCTGGGAAGCTAGGGTAACTGCTAAGGGCTGGGTGTGGACCAGCAGGAAGCTACAAAAGGTTTGGATGGTGCAGACACAGAGGGAGATGCTGGCTTAATTCTCCAAATACAACATTTGAGGGAAAACAACAAGGAAACAGACTAAAGGGCTCAAATTACCATTTTTTATTTAAAAAATGCATTAGATACAGAGGAACAAAGATGAAGATGAATTTCTCATCAGAAATCAGGACGACTAGACAGTAGTAAGAATGACACTTAGAACGCTGATGGCGAAATCCGTCATCGCAGAATGCCGGCTCAGCGAAGTGCCCCTTAGGTACGAACGCTGACAGACAAAAGCTGAGGGACGTCATTACGGGGGCATCTGTATTGTACAAGAAGTTAAAGGACATTATTAAGGCAGAAGCGATATGATATCAGACAGAGAGCAGAACCTTGGGCTTACACATGGAAATGGAGGCTCCATAACCATTAAACATGAAGGTGCTATTTTTCTTATTTTAACTTATTCACAAAGATGATTAATCATGGAACAAGGGCTCATGGGTTCACAGCACATGTAAGGTTGAAATGCATGGCTGAAATAGCACAGCAGAGACAGGGCGTGGGAGTGCCCTGCTGGAAGGCTCTGTGTTACACAGGTAGTGCACTGCAAAGGAAATTACGGCTCGTTAGTGATGTATATTTTAAACCCCAGTAACATTAAACAAAGTCAAAGGAGCTACAAATAATAGGACAAAGTGAAGACTAGTGCAATCACAAGAACAGTGACTGCAAGAGAGGACGAAGAGACAGAGTGGTTGAAAAGAGAAACAAATCAACAAGACGAGAAAGTGCAATCCCTCTGTACCATTAGACGTCAACGGTCTAAACATGTTTATAAAAGGCAGAGACTCGTCAGGTAGCTAGAAAGCAAAGCCCAACTATTTGTCGACTAAAAGAATGCTACTTAAAACATCAAAACATGAAGAGCTTAAAAGATTGGGAAATATATACACCACAGAACCACTGACCATCTGTGACCCAAGTAGCTTCTGCCTGACTGGCAGCGACCACTCCAATGCTTTGGTTTTGTTATCTTCTCTCTGGGACCCCCGAGCTACTACATAAGGGGTCCGGTGACTCTGGGCTGCCATGTCCAAGAGGCCACAAGCAGGTGGACCATCAAGAGTTTATGCGTTTGAAGCATTATGAACCCTCCCTAGTCCTTGTTGTCACTGCTATGTGCCGCCAAGTTGGATCTGCCCCACAGCTGACCCTCCCGCGCGGTGTCAGCGGCAGTCGGTCCCGAGAGGCTCTCTTCCCCTCCCCCGCCCCTGACCATTATTCAAAAAAATCACCAGTTCTTCTCAGCCCTCTTCTCTCCTCACTTTCCTAATTATTGTCATCAGAAGCAACTCATGATTCGTGGACAACAGGGTTACAAATTCTCTCTGCTGAGAAAAGGACCTCCAGCCTGTAAATCCTTCTAGACAGCACTTCAGGGAGAAAGAAAGAGGTTGGTCCTGGCAGGAGATGGTAATTATTGAGGCTCCATCACCCTGCCCCTTCTGCAGGACAGTGAGGGGGCTTCGGGTCTGGGATGCAATTACTCTGCAGAGAAGGCCAGGCCCACAAGTGTTTAGAGTTGGGCTTCAGAGTCTTCCGCACAGGTTCCAGGGGGAGGTGTGGCCTCCTGCTGCCTCAGAATAAGGCCTGAGGGAACATTTTTCTCCCCAGATAATTAGCATTCAAAGGACTGTCCTTTCCTGCCCCAAACTGCAGGTCTGGAAGCCATCTGCTAAATGACAGGCACTATGCCCACTCTTTCCTGGGTTCTATTACTAAAAACAAAAACTCAAATCCATTTTCAGGAGAAAATGTCCTTAGCTCTGAAGCAATTAGTTCTTGGAGTCCCATCTGACACAGCCAAGACACACAGAACAGTGTCTCTCATCTTAGAGCAAAGGGCACTCTTGGGAAGCGCCAGAACCAGGGGGTGACCCCACATGGTCATCCGGGAGGGCAGGGGTTGGTTAGGGGGTACCTGCAGTCAGACAGGAGCTCTGGAGGTGCTGAGGTTAAGAAACCCAACTGCTCACTCAAAGACTGCTGGTTCAAACTCACTGGCTGCCCCATGGAAGGAAGCCGTGGCCTTCTGTTCCCACAAAGATGCTAAAGAAACTCTACAAAGCAATTCTACCCTGTCTTACATGGTTTCCAACTCTACATTAATGGCTTTCTAGGCATGAAGAGCCCTGGTAGTCCAGTGGATTAAGTGTTGGGATGATAAATGAAAGGTCATTGGTTCAAACCCAACCAGTTACTTCAAAAGACAAGGAAAGGCAGAACTGCGTCCACAAAGATTTAAGCTGGGAAACCCTGTGTGGCCTCTACTGTCCTAAGGCATCCCAGTGAGGAGTACTGTAGCAGGGGCTGCAGTTTTGGGGTCTTGCAGCTGTAAAACCTTTTGTGGAGGATCTCGGAGGAGGCAGTAGGAGACAAGGGCCCTTTCCATGTCCCCAGGGGGTTTCACAGGAGCCAGGAGATACTGACGTCTGCCCATTTCTTGTGGTTGTGCACTGCTCTCTGGTCCAGGGACAAACCAAGTCCAGAAGATGAGACCAAAAGATTTTCCATTGCAGATGGATAAGGACAGATGCTAGTAATTGTGTTTCCTAGTTATCAATCCCAATTTCCGCAAAGATACACTTGTTGATGTTGCAGACACGTCTATGTCTGAATATTCCAATGCTTTAACCACAGCAACACGGAGTTCTATGCAAGACACGGCTATTACTCTCTCCTGGGAGGGTTATCCAGACACACAAACGCGGCGAGTTTGTATCTGTTTACCTACCGAAACTCAGTGGGCCTGTCTCTGGATCTGCGGAAACCCCGTGGGCTTGTATCTGCCCATCTAAGGAAACCCAGTGCAGCTGAGTCTGTTCTGACTCAACGGGGTTCCCAGGGCTGTAAACCTTCACGGGAGGAGACTGTTTATCTTTGTCCTGTAGAGCAACTGGTAGCTTCAAATGCTGGTTATGCGTGGTGTTTACCCTGCTTCTCCATCTCGAGTGTGGCTCCTGGGATCGTGGAAGCCAGCAAGCCGCGGCTCTGTGGGCCAGGTGCCAGGATGGAGGGGGGCTGAAGAACCCAAGACTGCAGGCAGGTCACTGCTCGCTCAAGTCCCAAGAACTGGCAATCCGATGATAATGAACCAAACGTGAGATCCAGAATGGGGAGAAAGGCAGTTTACCAGAACAGTCATATTTGTTAGACGCAGTCACACCTCTGAAGATTGTCTTTCCACTGATTGGCTGGTCCTAGCATTAGAGACACGAATGCGTCACACCAGGTCTCGTCCTGGGAAGAGTAGCCATAGGTGCCAGCCAGCGAGACGCCAGCTGAGCTGACCAGCGGGTAGGGAGGTGTGCTTCTGACCCAAGGTAGTGCCTCTCTGGTGGCTGAAGCCACCAGCGGGTCCAGGGGTGAA